TTCCTTCCTTCTTTCTTTGCTTCCTTCCTTCCTTCCCTTCCTCTCTTCCTCTCTCTTTTTGCCAGTCCTGGGGCTTGAACTAAGGGCATTGTTTCTGATCTTTGTGCTCTATATGCTCAAGGTCAGTGATCTACCTCTTGAGCCACAGCACCACTTCTGGCTTCTTTGAGTAGTTTATTGGAGATAAGAGGTATCTCAAGGGTATTTTTTTCCCAGGCTGGCTTCAAACATCAATCCTCAGATCTGAGCCTCCAGAGTAACTAGGCTTACAGGTGTGAGCCACTGGCCCAGTTCCTTCTTTATTTCTTTCTTCCTGACTTCCTTTCTTTTGTCTGTCATTCTTTCTAGTTTTTTTTTGGGGGGGGGTGTAGTGGTGGTAGTTTATCAAACCCAGGTCCTTGTGCATGCATCACAAGGGCTCTACCATTAAACTGCATCCTCAGCCCCATTTTAGGCCAATTTAATTCATAGCACATTCAAAGAATTTGAAAGGGTGAAGGGAGGCCATTTCTCCCTGCTCCACAGAAAATGACACAATTGACATTCACTGTAACAAGACAAAAACATGCATTTATAGTCTGGCCCCAGGGCTATGCTAGCTCTTCTGTCCTCTATCAGGAGATAATCTGAAGACCAGCTAGACTTACCAGTTTGACTTCTGTTAGAATATCCTGAGATGGATAACACCATGCACAGACTGGCCAAGCAGGAAATGGTGGGGATGTCAGCTATCCTGGTAACACTTGCTGTGGGGCAGGAGGGATGTTAACCTGTCTGAGTCCCTTCAGATTGAGCTGAAGTTTGTGACTACTCTGCAGGCCAGCTTTTTCTGTCTAATCTAGCCTGGCATCAGTGGCTCACACCTGTAATCTTAGCCACTCAGGAGGCTAACATCTGAGGATAGTGGTTCAAAGCAAGACACAACAGGAAAGTCTGTGAGATCTCTGTATCTATATCTATATATTCAGTTGTGGGGCCTGAACTTAGGGCCTAAGCACTGTCTTTGAGCTTTTTTAGCTCAAGGTTAGCATTCTAGCACAAAAACCACAGCTCTTACTTTTGGCTTTTTGGTGATTAACTGAAGATGAGACTCTCATGGACTTTCCTGCCTGGGCTGGTCTTGAACTACAGTCCTCACATCTAGCTTCCTAGCCTCCAGAGTAGCTAGTATTACAGGTGTGAGCCACTCACACCTGGCTTGATTATCTGTATTTTTATAGTAAAACAAGAACCAAAGTCACTGGGTTAGAGTGAGGAAAGAGAAAGGAATGCTGGGAAACTAGAGTCCATTGACAAGTAACACCTCCCTTCTTTCATTTATGTATTCTTTGCAGTTCTTAACATAGTCGACTAGAAACATGGCAGTCTGTGCCCTGCTTATATTCTGGATATTTAGCATGCTTTTTCTCTAAGTGCTGAACAATAAACAGACAACAGTAAACCTCTTGGGATCTAGCTGGGAGGGGTGGAGTGAAAGATAATAGGAGCAGATATAGCTGGCATACTCTGAATGCTTCATAAAGCTTGAACACAAGATAGTAATTTAGAACTTGAACTGCCTGTTCCTCTTTAAATCCCAAAACAACCTTATAAGTACAACTGGGTTTTCTAGGTGTTTGTTTCTGTACTAAGGCTCAAACCCAGTGCCTCCTGTATAGTTAGCTCTATCACTGAGCTACTGTCAGAGATAAGCTCTACAATTCTTTTTTTTTTGGGGGGGGAAGGGGCAGTACTAGGGCTTGAACTCAAGACCTGTGCACTTTATTTATTTATTTATTTGGCTAGTCCGGGGGCTTGAAATCAGGGTTTGGGCACTGTCCTTGAGCATCTTTAGCTCAAGGCTAACACTTTACCACTTGAGCCACAGCACCACTTCCAGCTTTTTTCTGTTTATGTGGTACTGAGGAATCAAACCCAGGACCTCAAGCATGCTAGGCAAGCACTCTACACTAAGCCACATTCTCAGCCCAACCTGAACACTCTTGCTTGGCTTTTTATTTAAGAATGGAGCTCTAGGCTGGGAATGTGGCTTAGTGGTAGAGTGCTTGTCTAGTGTTCATGAAGAGCTGGGTTTGATTTCTTAGTAGTACATAATCAGGAAAAGCTAGAAGTAGTGTTGTGGTTCAAGAGGTAGAGTACTAGCCTTGAGCAAAGGAAGCTCAGAGACAGTGCCCAGGCCCTGAGTTCAAGCCCTAGAACTACCCTGCCACTCTCCCTCCCCCCCCCAAAATAAAAGGGGCTGGGAAGGTGGCTCAGTGGTAGAGCGCTTGCCTTGCATGCCTGAGGCCCTGGGTTCGATTCCTCAGCATCATATAAGCAGAAAAAGCTGGAAATGGTGCTGTGGCTCAAGTGGTAGAGTGCTAGCCTTGAGCTGAAGAGCTGAGGGACAGTGCCCAGGCCCAGAGTTCAGGCCCCACGACCGGACCCCCCCCCAAAAAAAAAAAGAAGAAGAAAGAAAGAAAAGAAAAAGTCTCAGAGACCTTTCTGTCTGAACTGGCTTTGAACTGAGTTCCTCAGATTTCATACTACTGAGTAGCTAGGATTATAGGTTTTTAAGCAAGGAAGACAAAGAGAGGTTTCTCCTTGAGAATTGCTAAGGTGGGTAAGTATTAAAGTAGGGCAAAGTAGGCAGTGAGCAGAGCCCCTTTAGGAGAATTAATGTTGCCATGTAATGAGTTTGAATCTGACCACGAGAAACCCCAATCTCTGTATATCAGAATAAATCTTAGGGAAATGAAACCTGCTTGTACAACTAACAGATGTTAATAAGATTTTTAAAAATTGCAAAAGAATTCATAGGACTGGGTGCATGTGGCTCACACCTGTAATCCTAGCCAATCAGGAGATTGAGATCTGAGGATCAAAGCCAGCTTGGGCAGGAAAATCCGAGAGACTCTTATCTCCAACAAACCACTCAGAAAACTGGAAGTGGCGCTGTGGCTCAAGTGGTAGAGGGCTAGCCTTGAGCTGAAGAGCTGTGGGACAGCGCTCAGGCTCAGAGTTCTAGCCCCATAACCAACCAAAAAATAACAAACTGGAAGCGGCACTGTGGCTCAAGTGGTAGAGTGCTAGCCTTGAGCATGTAGATGCTCAGGGACAGACCCCATGCCCTGAGTTCAAGCCCTACAACTGACAAAAACAAAAAAGAATTCATAAGGAAAACACCTGAGAAAGGTCTCAAGTTTCCAGTTCTGAAAGTGGGGTGTTCATATACTTTTTGTGACACACACTTTATGAATGAAATGGTATATATGTATAGTTTTGCATTGCTAAGACAAGTAAGATTAAGCAGGAGATCCACATGAGGCCAGCCTGTTGCGCAACAGGTATGCTTGTAGCAGAGAATGGGACCTTTAGGTTGCATATCAGTACTGAATAGAGAGGTTGAAATAATTTTAGCTGGACAGGGCACTGGTGGCTCAGGCCTGTAAATTCTTGCTTCTCTGCAGGCTGAGATCTGAGGGTAGCAGTTTGATACCAGCCCAGACAGGAAATTTCATGAGAGTCTTATCTCCAATTAAGCACCACAGAAAGCCAGAAGTAGAGCTATGGCTCAAGAACTAGCCTTGAGAGGGAGGGCCGAGGAGGACTAAGAAACAACGTCCAGGTGGCTCAGTGGTAGAGCGCTTGCCTTGCATGCATGAGGCCCTGAGTTTGATTCCTCAGCACCACATAAGCAGAAAAAAGCCAGAAGTGGCGCTGTGGCTCAAGTGGTAGGGCGCTAGCCTTAAGCTGAAGAACTAAGGGATAGTGCCCAGGCCCAGAGTTCAGGCCCCAGGACTGGCACACACACACACACAGACACACACACACACAGCATCCAGACCCTGGGTTCAAACCCAGGATTAGCACGCACGCGCGCACACACACACAATCTTAGCCGGCAGTGTTAACTGGGGGTGAGTGTGTAGGATGGCGCGAAGCGGGTGATGTTCTTCACCAAGGCTCAACTGTTCTCTGAATCTGGAATGCGAATGGAAGGGATTTGCCAGGCAGCGCGTGTGGGGCGCCATTGCCGCGGGCTGGGCACCAGGGGGCGCCAGTCGGATCGGTCCGCGAGCGGGCAGAGCGCTGGGCTGTGCGTGCCCAGCGGTGCGTGCACCACATTGCTTCTCCAGGGCACGCGGGCGCTGCGGTGCCAGGGCTCCACGCCTTTGGGGGGGCGCCAAGTCTGGACACCTCTCTGCCCCCTCTCCGCTTTTCACTGCCGCCACGAGCTGGGTCCCGTGGCGAGGACCCATGTGGGAACCGCGGGCGCCCGGACGGCGCGGCCACACCACTGGAGCGTGGAAAGGGAGGCAGCTGTTCTCCCAGGCGGCCGTCGGGGGCAGCAGAGGGGACGGCGACAGGTGCGGGAGCCCCTCCCCGGGGTTAGAAGTAGGAAAGGCGGGCTCCGGGGTCTGTTCCCAGGCTGGAAACCACCCCCGCCCCCCACCCTCCCCTGCACAACCAAATCCCCGGGAGAGGCCCCGGCCGGCGCCGGGGTCTGGGGAAGGAAGCGGGCCGGAGACAGTGCGATTTCACGCGGCCTCAGGGGCTCAGGTTCCTGGGTTGGGTGGATGAGTTATGAGGCTTTGAGTCCTGGGGAAACTGAGGTGGCCTGAGCGCAAGGCCAGAAAACAAAACAGAACAGAACAAAACAAGAAAACAACCTCCCACGAGAGAGAGAGAGAGAGAGAGAGAGAGAGAGAGAGAGAGAGAGATCCCCAAGTGATCCAACCGGCTAGGGAAGTCGGGTGATTTGGTTAATGGGCGAGGCCAGCCTTCAAGGGGCCAGGCTTCGGAGCGCTCGCCTTCACTACGTTTCCCCGATGAAGACGGGAGGGGGGGCGGATCTGGAGCCCCCATCTCCTTGGCGCCCATCTCCCGGGGGAATGTTAGAGGGAGGCAGCCCCCCCACTTTCGTCTCCCCCTCCCTCCTGGACCCCCCGGGTCCGGCTGCTGGACGGTGGCGCGCGCGTCGCGCTCTGGGCGGGTGAGCGAGGCTGCAACGAAGCCCGACTCCGGCACGCACGGGAGGGGGCGCGGCCGTGACTCACCCACCCCCTTCCTCCTGCCTGCCCTCCCTCCTCCCCTCCCTCCCTCCCTCTGTCCAGACGTACACCCTCCCCTGCCATCAGCTCCACTTCTTGACTCCGGCTCCGGTTGCAGTTTGCAACCTCGGCCGCCGCCGCCGCCGCCGCCGCCAGTTCGTGGGCGGCTCAGGTGGCTGTCGCTTCCCCATGTCCTAGTCCTGGAGTCCCCGGGCCGGAGTCGGCTGGGCTTCCTTTCACCTTCTGTGGGGAGTGATGAAGGCGAACGGGGCTCTGCAGGTGCTGGGCTTCCTTCTCAGCCTGGCCCGGGGCTCCGACGTGGGCAGCTCGCAGGCAGGTAAGCGGAGCGGGGATCATCCAGCACCCGGCTGGAAGCTGGGGGACCCCCGACCCCCAAGGCGCGCAGTCCCCGAGGGCAGGGGCGAGGGGTGCTCAGGCGCGCGGGACGGAGGGTGCCACCCCTGGTCTGCTGGCAGCACCTGGAGGGGGATCGGGCTAGCTCTGTCGGTGGGACACCCCCCCCCGCCTCCCCAGGGCATCGCAGACCCCCGAAGTAATGGGTCTGTCCTGATCAGCCCACTTGGAGCCGGGGCAGGGACCTCCTTCTAGTAAACGCGAGGAGCTGGTGGGAGCCTAAGTTAGGTCAGGTCTCCTTTTGCTCTTTAGTTCCTCCTGAGCCCACCCCCCCAAACCCCAAGTTTCGGCATCCCCCCCCCGCCCCCAGTTTCGTTGTTTTGCTGCCAGGGCGGAGCTGTGGGAGGGCTGGAGGGGTTTGTTGTTTTCAGGTGTTGGAAAAACAGGAATGGCACCTCCTCTTCCGTGAGTGGGACTGCCCTGGGAAGGGCTGAAATTAACCAGAGAGCTAAGTCCAGGTGACACCAGGGCCAGTGGCCTCCAGAGGCTGCCTCCCCCCCCCACCCCCGTTTGCTCCTCAAATAAAGTTGACTAGTCCCCAACCTAGTCAACTTGCCCTTTGTCAAGACCCAGGTTAATTCAAGTCACAAGTATTGAGTTTCTAGTATATGTATTGCCCCTGGGCCATGAGCTATGAGGGAAAGCACCGTGGTACTTTATTTCTCTCTCTTTTCTCTCCTCTCTGAACTTCCTGTACTGTAGAGTTCCTAGGTCCAAGTTCTGCCCTTCCTGAGTTCTATTTATTGTCTAACTACATAAGAACCCCCCCATGGCTCTTCTCTAGGCCCTCCCCCCCTCTCTGTGCCCACCCCTTTGGGGTGTCTCTGAGACCAGGTACCCTTGAAGAGACCGAAGTTGGTGGAATTAAGAGTCCTGTTGATCTCTTCCCCTCCCTACCCCATCTCAGCTTGGGGACTGGCACAGTGGGGGGGGGAGGGTTACCCCTGGGTGGGAGTAGGAGAAACCACCTGTGCTTCCCCTACAGTTGCTAGACCTAAATTTAGCCTCTGGGATCTTGAGATGTGGACACTCCCAGCTGGTAGAGGGGATGGTGTGTGTGGGGGGGCCTAGAGTGGGATGGGCTAGTGGAATGGCAGCTTCATGGTCACACCCCTATCTTTAGTGACCCAGGAGCCCAGGATTCCCACCACCCTCCTGAGAAAGGGGGGGGGCAGGCATGGTTGGGTCTCTACTCTTTATCTGGATCTTACAGCCTCTGGGCATCCGGCCCTGTCTCTGGCCTTCTATAGACCCTTTGTCCTGTTTTTTGGGGGGGTGTTGGAGAGGGAGGCCTCTGGAGGGGCTAGAGATTCCTGCTCTGTCTCAACCCCAGTGCTTCCTATCCAAGGAAGTCTGTGACACTACTCCAGTTATAATTCCCTTTCCCCTCCTCTGCTCCCCAAGTTTGTCTAGCTCCTCCCCATAAGTGTTGTTTATACTCTCTTCTCAGCCGGGACCTTTGCCCTTGTTTGTGAAATATGGACTTTACCCTCAGGTAATTGGGACCTATAAGGTTGTTGCCTCCAAAGCACAGACACAAAGTCTGCCCCAGGCGTGTGGGCAGGTGGGCTGACTGGGGCCACTGCCATCCTTCCTGATAAGAATCCACTCTAGATTTTGGAGGTAGCTTTGGAGGTAGCAGAGGAGCTGTGTACAGGTTTGTGTGTCACGGTAGTGTGCGTGCACACACCACTGTTCTGGACAAAAATCTTGGCTCCTCCTCCCTTTTCTGAGAAAAAGGATTGGCACCTTCATTTGAAAGAAGGGGTGTCCTGACAGAAGGGTTGGGGTGGAGGCTGCTCCAGAATGACTAACCTTTATTTGTATTATTTATTTATACAAATAAATAGGGCTTGAACTCTGAGCCTAGGCACTGTCCCTCAGCTCTTCAGCTCAAGGCAAGCACTCTACTACTTGAGCCACAGTGCTACTTCTGGTTTTCTAGTAGTTACTTGGAGATCAGAGTCTCATGGGGACTTTTCTGCCCTGGCTGGCTTTGAACCATGATCCTCAGATCTCACCCTCCTGAGTAGCTAGGATTATAGGTGTGAGCCACCGGACTTCTGCTTGACTAACCTTTTTAGTCTCATTCATTTGCAGCTCTGGAGTTCCAAGGCTCCTCTAGGAGTTCCCAGCCTGCTTCCCCCTCCCCACTAGAACTAGCCCACCCCTTCCCTCCAGGGAGTGATTGGAAAGGGAGCTCTGAAAGATCAAGTGGGTAGACCTGGGGCCATCTAACAGGAGGGGTGGGGGCTTCTCACTCTCAGCAGCCAGCCGCAGAGCTGCCAGCCTCAGGGAAGGGTGGTTAGAACAGGTGGTTTCTACCCCACCCCCTCCCCACACAGCCAGAGGAGAAACACAGGGACAGAGATGGGGCTTTTGAGGCCAAGACTTGTAAGCTCATTGTCCTCCATATTTACAAAGGAAAGTGAAAGCGCATATTTACAAAGGAAAGCTGGTGAGAGTTGCCATGTTGGAAGTGTGTGTGTGTGTGTGTGTGTGTGTGTGCGCGCGCGCGCGTGCGGTTGGTGCTCTACTACTTGAGCCACTGCTCCACTTCTGGCTTTTTGGTGGTTAATTGGAGATAGTCTCAGGACTTTCCTGCCCACGCTAACTTTGAATCCTGATCCTCAGATCTCACCCTCTTTTTTTTTTTTTTGCCAATCCTGCCTGGGTTTTTTTTTTTTTTGTCGGTCATGGGGCTTGAACTCTGGGCCTGGGCGCTGTCCCTCAGCTCTTCAGCTCAAGGCGAGCGCTCTACCACTTGAGCTACAGCGCCACT